TTGCTATGTTAGTCCTGGTGTTGTGCTGTGGGATAATGAACTGGACCACAAATTGGTTTGAACCACAAGGTCAGTGGTTCAAATTCACTACCCACTCTTTGAAAAGCCTATACAGGCACTTAACAACAATGTTTTTTGATGTTGTTGTTTTTTTTAAGCCAAGTGTATGAAAATGGATTTATTTTGTCTGGTAACAAGCTGATAAACTTTTCTGAAATCTCTTTAAAATTCTGTTCAGATTGTTGTAGTCCAAATACAATTATTGAATTGTTTTTACCTAATGGCCTACTTAATTTGTTTGCAGCAGCATAGGAGAAGTTACCGTGATTTTATGTGGTCCAAGTTGTTTTTGTTAATTTCTTTGGTGGAGACAGGTTTCATAAACGCCAGTGGAATTATTTGCATATAAATAATCTGTAAACCTTCAATATGTTATTGATATATGTGATTAATTAAGATCATATTCTCTGTTCCATCAGAATGAACATTTATTAAAAAGTTTTTTATAGTCTGTCCTGGTTATAATATTCATAGGAAATATACTTTAAACAAAAAAGAAAAGGCTTATTTATGATAATATTCCAATATTATTAAATTCTTATAATTTATTAAGTGTTTGCACATTTAAATTATAAGCATGTTGACATTTATTTTCATGAAAAATTGCATGTTAAAAAACTATAATAAAGTCTGCCTTATTAACCTTCATTCTATTCAACTCCTTAGTCATCAGTGAATTAATTTTTACAGTGGTTGTCTGGGTAACCACACACCTAGTTTCCCTGGTTTGTTTTTTATATAATTAAAAGACACATTCCTCAACATCCTTCCTTTATGTCAATTTTTTGCCTTTTTCCCTATAGTGTATATCCTTAGCCTAGTGTTCTTTATAAATAGGCACTAGGAATGTGGTAGTGGTTATGTGCCATGGAGTCGGTTCCGACTCATAGCGACCCTGTACAAGGTTTCTGAGGCTGTAAATCTTTACGGGAGCAGAAAGCCTCATCTTTCTCTTGCACAACAGCTGGTAGTTTTGAACTGCTGACCTTGTGGTTTGCAGTCTGATTCATAACCACTACACTACTAGAATCTGTACATGGACCAAGAGGCAGTTGTTTGAACAGAACATGGGAATACTGAATGGTTTAAAATAAAGAAAGGTGTGCGACAGGGTTGTATTCTTTCACCATACTTATTCAACCTGTATGCTGAGCAAATAATCTGAGAAGCTGGGTTCTATGAAGAAAAACGTGGCATCAGGATTGGAGGAAAACTCATTAGCAACCTGTGATAGATACGCAGATGATACAACCTTGCTTACTGAAAGTAAAGAGGACTTGAAACATTTACTGATGAAGATCAAAGAGCACTGCCTTCCATATATAAAGAAAACAAAAATCCTCACCACTGGACCAATAAACAACATTCTTATCAACAGAGAAAAGATTGAAATTGTCAAGGACTTCATTCTTCTTGAATCAACCATCTACACTCATGGAAGCAGCAGTCAGGAAATCAAATGGCGTATTACATTAGGCAAATCTGCTGCACAAGACCTTTTTAAAGTGTTGAAGAGCAAGATGTCAGTTTGAGGACTAAGGTGCGCCTGACCCAAGCCATGGTATTTTCAATAACCTCATATGCATGCAAAAGCTGGACAGTGAATAAGGAAGCCCCTAGAAGAATTGATGCATTTGAGTTATGGTGTTGGAGGAGAATATTGAAAGTGCATGGGCTGCCAAAAGAACCAATAGATCTGTGTTGGAGGAAGTGCAGCCAGAGTGCTCCTTCGAGGCCAAGATGGCCAAACTTCGTCTCTCATACTTTGGACATGTTGTCAGGAGGGACCAGTCTCTGGAGAAAGATATCATTTTTGGTAGGGTGGAGGGTCAGAGAAAAAGAGGGAGACCCCCAGCAAAATGGATTGGCAAAGTGACAACATCAATGGGCTCAAGTGTGGCAATAATAGTGAGGTTAGCCCAGGACCAGGCAGTGTTATGTTCTCTTGTGCATAAAGTCGCTATGAGTTGGTACCAACTCTATGGCACCTAACAACAACAACAAGAAGGAATGTGCTAACTAGATTATGAAATCTATTTGGGTATTCTATTTTATAACATCCTTATTGATATCCAAGTATAAGTAAATTATTAATATATGGATTATAATCTTCTTAGAATTGGCTAAAAATTCCATCTATATTTTATTAAATATTACATTATTGGAAAGAAATATTTTAATAACCATAATATGAGTTCAGTTTTCATCTTGCAACAACATATGTTAAATAGCCACTTGATGCTAAATATAAATATGCTTACTATATATTATTGTTGTTGTTAAGTGCCATCAAGTTGGTTCCGGCTCACAGCAACCCTGTATAGGGTTTCCAAAGAGTGACTGGTGAGTTTGAACTGATAATGTTATCTCTGTCTCACATTGCCAGTCCTGTGCCACGTTCATAATCAATGTGACTATTGTGTTAGTGCATTTCATTGAAGGGTTTCCTCATTTTCAATGACCTTTTACTTTGCCAGCACTCTTCTTTGTTAAATAAAATTGCCCATGGCATAATAAGGAAGTGGATTTAAAATGGACTTTATATTCCTTGTCCTCAAATTTATTTCTTAGCTCTGTATGAACTGTGAAACAAGTCTGGCATAGTTAAATCATGGTGATGGTGGTGTGCCATGGAGTCGGTTCCAACTCACAGCGACCCTGCGTAGGGTTTCTGAGGCTGTAAATCTTTGCAGGAGCAGAAAGCCTCATCTTTTTCCAAGGAATAGCTAGTTTCAAACTGCTAACCTAGAGGTTAGTCAGCCCAACTTGTAACCACTATGCTACCAGAGCTCCTTGGCATAGTTAAATAGTGGTTGATGATTATATAATGATTAAAATGAACATTCATATCTTGTAAATAAGAAAATGTGTATCTTTGTATTAATTATTGTACCAATTTACTTAGTGTTTTTTTTTTTTTTTTTTTTTGGACGATTTACTTCACTTTCTGGACCTCTGGTTTTCTTGTCTATTAAATGAGATCCACAATCACACTCACGGATGCAGCAGTTCAGAAATTACATGATTTATTGCATTAGACATATCTGTTGCCACATACCTCTTTGACGTATTTAAGAGCAAAGATACCAGTTTGAGCATTGGGATGCACCTGAACACAAGCTGTTGTGTTTTTCGTAATCTTATATTCATGTGAAAGTTGAACAATGAATAAGTAAGGCCATAGAAGAATCAATGTATTTGAATTATGATGTTGGAGAAGAGTACTGAAACTACCAGGTATTGTTGGAAAAAGTGCAGCCACAATGCTCTCTAGAAGCCAGGATGGAGAGACTTAATCTCTCATATTTCAGACATGCTATCAGGAGGGACCTGGTAGCGTAGTGGTTACGAATCAGGCTGCGAACCTTAAGGTCAGCGGTTCGAAACTACCAGCCGCTCCGCGGGAGAAAGATGAGGCTTTCTACTCCCGTAAGGATTTACACCCTTGGAAACCCTGTACAGGGTCGCTATGGGTTGGAACCGACTCGAAGGCACTTAACAACAACAACAACAATCAGGAGGGACCAGTCCCTGGAGAAGGACATCATGCTTGTTAAAGTAGAAGGCCTGCAAAAAAAGAGGAAGACCCTCAAGGAGTTAGATTGGCCCAGTGCAGCAGTAATGGGCTCAAACATAACAGCAATTGTGAGCATTCTGCAAGACCTGGCTGTGTTTTGTTATGTTGTGCTTAGGACCACAATGAGGCAGAACTGTGTGGAAGCTAACAAGAAATGAGAGATTGAATTAAATGATTTTTTAAAAAAGATGCTCAATATACTGATTCTAGTAAAAATTCTCAATTTTTCTGACTTTCAACATGTGTAAGACTAATAGGAATTTTAGTAGAAAAAAAATAAGCTGAAAACAATAGTTACAAATATAGTACAATTATATAATATAATCTAAACATGCAAGTATTGAGAGAATGTAAGGTTTCTAGAGGGGGATGAAGTTAACTGGAATTTGTTTAGAAAAGCTGATTTGTCAAACTTTTTGACAAGTGAGAAAACAGAAAAATGAAAGAAAAAGCGGGAGGACAGGAGGTTCATGTTAGTAGGATAAGAAAATTCTGTACATGTTGAAGGAGAGCACAGGCAGATTTGATTGATTGAAGTGCTGACTTCATGCTGGGAAATAATGGGAAAAGGAGACTTTTGAGACTGTAAAATGAAGAAAGGTGTCAATTAGCAAAGTCCTTGCAAGTTATCCTAAGGAGTTTAGGTACAGCGCTTAGTGGTGGGTAACCACTGCTTGCCTTTTACCAGGGGAGCCAAAGAATGAAATATGCCTCAGTACATATCCTGGTGGCTTTTAATAAGATACAATGAGAGTGGGGAGCTTAACAATTTCACAGAAAGATTAACTTAGTAAGCTTGCACCAGAAAATGAGCTCTTTTTGATTATAAAAGCCGTGGCTTTTTAAAATTAACTATAACATCTAGGCTAGCTGGATTTCTAATGAATGCAGTTAAAAGATAGTTTTGTGGCCTAAGGGCAAGAAGATATAGGATTCATTATCTTGTCCCAGAGCCTCTAAGTATTACTCCCTTGTATTTTCTTATACACAAGACTTTACAGGGCAAAGAATGAGGAAGATGGATCATTCTTTTTTTTTTTTTTTTTTTCTCAAAGCCAAGCTTTTCAAGAAATATTGTAAACTTTAAGACATTTTCCATTTCTTGCATAGTAATTTCCATTACTATGCAATAATTGTATGTTCTATAATAATTACTGCATAGTACATTATTGACAATTGTTACATAGATTATTGTTATGCATACTAATGCACACTTTGTGCTTTTCATGTGTGTATGCATTTCATTTACATTATTATTTCTAAGTGATTAATTTTATATCTTAACAACTATAAAAGTCTTATTACTCTTGTGGAAATTGTTGGAAAAAATGAGCTATTTCAATCTTTTGTTCTTTTCCCCTAGTCTTTTCTAGCACTGGTGAATTTATTATCCTATCCTGCTATTTATGAGCTGGTAGGCAATCAAGAACTACCTAATAAAACTGAATATTCTCTTCGTGAGGTCCCGACATGTATTATTGTAAGTCATTTTTTTCCTTTAACCTTTTTATTTTATAAATGTATGAATTTTACAAATTTGAGATTGATTATAAATATGTAATCTGACAACGGGGGAAAACAGTTGAAGAAAGACTGTTGAATGATATTTAAAGGCTTATTTGGCATTGGCCTGTGGATTATCAACTTTGTGAATATCTGTGATCAAGGGCTTCTGCAGTCCCGGTACTTATTTGAATATAAGGTTAAGTCTCCCCAACCAAGAAAGGGACTTGGTATAATAGATGTATATTTGTGTGATGTACTATGTTATTAGACACACCAATACAGCTGTTTCATAGAGTAAGATAATTAGGAGTAAACTATATCCAAAGAGTTCATTATAATTCCTGCTTTCATTTTAGTGAATTACATATTATTGCCCCATGAGGGCAGTATATACATACTTACTTAATTTGAGAATCTCCTCATACTAATGCTCCAAATAGCTAATTTGTTTTCATCATTCAGAGATACTTAATTTTTTATCTTCAGGTGAATATAAGTTAAACACACATAAACATGAACAAACCAGTGTATGCACATAAGGATTAGTAAAAAAATTACTTTATTTAGTATTGAAAATTGATTATTAATCATTACTTTTCATTTTCTGATCACTTTGTCTCATGTGTTATATACTTTATTTTATATTTAATTGTAAGTTTGCCTTTTGAATATTTTCTTTAAAATTTTTTAAAGTTTTTATTATGAATTGGATGAAGGTTTACAAAATCGAACATCAGTTTTAAATGCAACAGTTCGTACACATTTTGTTTTATTTCTTTGAATATAATCCTCTCCTTACCCTACTTCCTTCCTAATACCTATTTTCATTTCTTCTTTAATAACCCTTCCAAACTTTGTCCTTAGGTAAATACTTTTGATCTCCACTGTTGGGTTATGCTAAGGTGTGCATTACTATAAACCTGTCTATTGTTGAGGTAGGAATTGAGCCATGGAGCGAGTTTAGTTTTAGACTTGAAGGGTGACTAAGGACCATAATCTTGGGGGTTCTACCAGCCTCCATTTAACCAGTTAGCCTGGTCTGTTTTATGATTTTAAAGTTTTGTCCAGCTCTCCAGGATTTTCTAATGTGATCCCTTTTAGAGCAGTTGGTTGCGGTAGCTGGACAGCATCTAGTTCTTCCGGTTTCAGGGTCATGGAAACCCGTGTTCATATGGTCTGTTAGTCAACTGGACTAATTGTTTCCTCGTGTCTTCAGTTTTCATTTTTGTTTACTCTGGCCAGGGAGAGACCAGTAGTTGCACCTTAGTTGGCCACTCGTAAGCTTTTTATGACACGTTTCTACCCACCAAAGTAGGATGTAGAACATTGTTTTTGTGGACTTTGTTTTGCTAATTGATTTTGGTGTTCCCTAGGACTATTGTCCAGCAACTCACTCCCTCGAAATCTTTGGTTATGTCTATGAAGTTTTCATAACTGCCTCCTATGTGCTTCTCCACATTCATGGATATATTTGCAGCAAAACCATGCACAAATATCCTCTGTCCAACCTATATATATATATATATATATATATATATATATATTTGTGAGTATACTCCTACTTTCCCTCCCACATCTGTTCTGGCTGCACGTCTATTCAGCTGTGTATTGCTTCCCCCTTCACCCAAATAACAAAATATTAATTTCATTGCACCTTTAAAACAAGTTTTGTTTTATCTTGAAATCTACTTGACTTCTCCATTTAGAAGTTCCGTAACTATACTGTTCCCTCTTGTCACTTTGTAATTGTCTTAATTACAAATTGATAACTCTGTTTCTGGCTTTTCAGAGGGAACCAGATTTGTTTTACTTTAGATATTTCTGAATCTGGGTTGATTTCTAGATGATGTTGTCATGTTGTCATCTCAGGTTGCTATCTATTGTTCTTGGTTCTTTGTGTAAACAATTCCTTTTTGTATTTCTTGTAAGATTCTGGTTTTTAAAATACCTTTAATTTCTGTTTATCAGGAAATGTCCTAAGTTTGCCATTGAATTTGAAGGATGATTCTACTAGGTATTTGATTCTTGGTTGGGCGTGTTTTTCTTTCATAGTTTTATATGTGCCATTTTATTGCCTTAGTTGAATGGTTTTCCCTGAGAAATTAAAGCTTAGTCTTATTGGTTATCTTCTGTAGGTAACTTCATTTTTCCCAAGCTGTTCTCAGGATTCTTGTCTTTAGTTTTGGAGAGTTTGATGATTACATATCTTGGTGATTTTCTTTTGGGATCTGCCCTGTTTAGGGTTCACTCCGCTTTTGGAGTGCGTATTTTCTTATATTTCGTAATGCAAGGGAAGTTTTCTTCCAAAAACTCTTTGACAATTTTCTCTGTGTTTTTTCTTTTTTAATCTCTTCGTGTTCTAGAATTCCAATAATTCATATGTTATTCCTCTTGATGGTGTCTCACAGTAGGCTTTCTTTGGGTATTTTTTAATTATTTTTTCTGCCTGTTCCTCTAGCAAATTAGAATTGAGAAATTTGTCTTCAAACTCATGAATTGGACCTTTCATTGAGGTCTATCTACTCCTGTGTCCTTTCAATGTATTAACTATTTCTGAAATCTTACTAACCTAATGTTTTTTGTTGTTGTTTATGGTTTCTAGTTTTTTATTTATCTTGTCAATTTGTTCTTGGTGTGTTTTCCTGAATTCCTGTTAACTTTTGTCTGCCTTTGAGTTGATTTTGTCTGCAGCTTTCTCAATCTTTCTCTCAATCCATTGAAGGTACCTAAATATCATTCTTTTGAATTCTTTATCAGATAATTCCAATGCCATTTCTTCCTCAAAAAGGTCTTCTGGCTCTGCGTCTTAGTCACTTTGCCTTGTTTCTTTGTGTGAATTGAAATTGTCTGTTTCCTCTGAGACATTATGGCCTTGATGTATGTGTATGTAATTGATGGCTGTATGTTGATGTGGTCCTAGGCATTCAATGCTTGTCTGTTTGTGGGTGTGATAGAGAATCTGAGCATACGCACAGTTCTCTGTTTTCTGTTCATGTAACACAGTGCAGGGTGGGTTTGACTAGCATTAGTTGCTGTTTGTCAATGATCAGATGGTATAGGAAGAGCTAGAAGCTCTTGTTTAGTAGTGGGGCTGTAGGAGGTGCGAGTGTGGCTGGGTCATATGGGCACTGGTGCTGTCTCCTATCCAGTGAGACAGGGGAAAAACAAAAGAAAAATAAAGAAAATTAAAAAACACAAGCAGGGAGAAAGCAGGCCAACAACAGCAAGAAAAAGAGTTTAATAAGTAAAAAAGAAAAAAAGGAAAAGGAAACAAAATAAGAGAAAAAAGAAAAAATACAATAAACCAAACTTATTGTTGTTAGGTGCCCTCAAGTCAGTACCGACTCATAGTGAGTCCTGTGCCAACCTCACATATGTTGCATGAGTTCATGTTTCTGCTACTGTGCCATTCTACCTTATTGGGGGTCTTTCTCTTTTTAGCTGACCCTCCACTTTACTAAGCATGATATCCTTCTTCAGGGACTGGTCCCTTCTGATAATATAGCCAAAGTGTGAGAAACAAAGTCTGGCCAACCTGGCTTCTAACAAGCATTCTGGCTATACATCTTCCAACACATTTAAAAAAAAAATTCTTCTGGCAATCTATGGTACTTTTAATATTCTCCTCCAACACCATTAACTCACATGCATCAGTTTTCTAAGATCTTCCTTATTCATTGTCCAACTTGTTCACATGCATATGTTGTTACTGAAAATACCATGGCTTGGGATAGGTGCACCTTAGTCTTCAAACTGACTTCTTTGCTCTTGAACACTTTAAGAGATCTTGTGCAGCAGATTTGCCTGCAATACATCGTTTAATTTCTTGACTTCTGTCCTATGAGTATTAATGGTTAAGCCAAGTAAAATGAAGTCTTTGAAAATTTTAATCTTTTCTTCATTTATCATGATGTTATTTATTTATTGCAAGAACTATTTTCTTTACATTGAGGTGAAAATAGGAAAAGGAGAAGAATAAAAAAAACTGAAGGATAAAAAAGAGAAAGAAGAAGGGAAGGGAAAAAAGACAAAGCAAAGAAAAAAAGAAAAGAAAAAAACAGAGAAAAGAGGTATTGAAAACAATGGAAGTGAAAGATAAGAAAAAGAAAAAATAAAGGAGAAAACTGTGCAAGGAAAGGACCCAGCGAGGAAAAAATTGAGGAGGGGGGAACAGAACACTCAGTATGGGTCAGCAACCTCTGTCAGTCATGGAGTTCATTGGGTGGGGTGGAGGAGGGGTGAGGTAACTCAGTGGAAGTCCCTTGATCTTATGTATGGTTTTCATTCTTATTAAGACCACCCTAGCTTTGTTGATGCTATGTGTTGTGGAGTCCATCCGGACTTATAGCGACCCTGCATAGTGTTTCCGAGGCTGTAAATTTTTACAGGAGCAGAAAGCCTCATCTTTCTCCCATGGAACAGCTGATAGTTTCAAACTACTGACGTAATATTAGCAACTCCGATTCTTAACCACTATGCTACCAGAGCTCCTTATGGATGGTGTTCATTCTTATTAAGACCACCCAAGCTTCAACCCTCACTATCTAGATTACTTAAGTGAGATACTAACTATTCTTTTTCTTCTAGTCTCAGCCTAATTTATTCCTTATACTAAATGAGATTGTCATTTAAAAAAAACAAAAACAAAACAGATGCTGAGGTTCAGGTGTTTAAAATCTTTGCTAATTTCCCTTTGCCTTTAGGCTTAGTTCATACTCCTTTGCATGGCAAAACAGTTTCTCATTACTTTTCGAAATCCTCTCTTTTCTTATAGTCGATTCTCTAACTTCCAGGCCTTTGGACAATTGGCTTTCTTTATCTGGAATCTGAAAGATACATAACCTTGCCTTTTGGCTAGATTTTTTTTTTTGTAATTTTCATTCTAGTTACTTGCAGGTTGGTTTTACTTCAGTCTTTAAGGGCTCAGTTTTTTACATGAGCTTTGATGTCGGTTGTGGTGGGGGGGCAGCATTG